ACGGAGAGACCATTTCAATGTTATTGTAAAATCAGAGTAGAATGCCTCTGGAAAAACCCTTCCCACCAAAACTATGCATACCAAATACACTAAAGAAACAATAGGAAAATAATGCCACAGAACAGAGTTTCCATAAGAAAATTGTAAATTTTAAGTGTGGTTGGGGGGAAGTTCCAAATACAAAATAACTGCCTATAAATCAAAACTATTCACGCACTTCAGCACTCTAAAGATTAATACAAACTTGTGAGTATTCTAGTTTGCTGGGGGGTTGTAAAGCATAGTAGATAGGATACCACAGATGCAACTGCAAGCAGTGAACTATTTCACACAGCCTTAAATGACAGGGAGCCTTTTATTCTAACTACTGCACCTGGATTGCAGCCAATCCCCCAGTGAAACGTATAATTGGATAACTGTAGGTTATAGCATTAGTAGCGTTCAAGTGCCTCTATTCTATTTAAAAAGGAAACAGTTTCATGACCTTTAAATCTCACTACAAATAAAAGAGTAATTATTTCTCAATAAATACATGTTGAAAATTATTTAAAAAATCAGTTATTATTTTTCCTTGATTTCAGAAACCTTCCTAATTTAACAACTTTAGAAGTGTCTGCCAAACAACCTTGTCATCTTTGTCTACCCTTCAAACTGTGAGACGCCCAGACATGAGGCTCTTTTTTGGCTGGTGGGATCACTCTTAAAGCCTTAACAGTGTACAGTGCACCTAAAAAGCAAGAGAGAAAGACCTAGGCTAAAGCCTTTCTAAGAGACATAACAAAAGGAAGAGGTGCACTCATACTATTTGCTGACATTTTATCTAGAAAACAGGAGTCTTTAATAAAATTTCAAAATTCTTATCAATACTGAAATTACAGAACTGTAGTGGCAAATAATAGCCTCTCACCTACACTCTCTGATTTGGAGGTAAAATTGCACCCTTTCTAGCACATGAACTACTGGCATTCTTTTTCGTACTTCCAAACTAGTCTTTGCTACTCTGATGACATGTTTAAGCAGTCCTTTCCTCTATGATCTATGCAGCAGTTGATTTCTGCACAGCCTGTTTTCACTCTCTGCTCAGCATGTCCACTGACTCTGCAGGAGTTCTGCTCGGGAAGTGAGGGAAAGCATGCACTGCAGCACTACAGCCCCAGTGGATGCCAGCCGTCGGCTGGCTTTAAAAAGCATTTGGCTGAAAATTTCTGTGGGGCATTTTACCCTTCTCTTTCTCATTTTTTTTAGGATGAAGCTGGAAGTTTTTCACCCCTTGATAGAATTACTTCAATTTAAACTTGAATTCTGAACATATAAGAATAACTTATCTCCTTTTATCACTGTTATCGATAGTCAACAAGCTTTTTTTTTTAATATCAGGATATTTAGTCTATCACTTTCCTTTGAAATGAAAAAGACCCTTAACTGCTCTATATCTGCATAATAACTATAAAGCTGGACTGAAATCCTTCTACCATTACAGTATACTGAAATCAACACTTTTAATCATCTGACTCAAATCTATGTTTTATAGTATCCATTTTATGTGATATGTATTATATTAATACATATAAGTTATATATACTTTTATATATATAAACAGACATGAGGTTCATGAAAATGATTGAATCACCCTTACTTTCTACTTTCAAAGGAAAACATTATAGAGTTTGTAATTTTAAAGGGCAATTCATGCAGCATCAAAACACGCCCCCTAAAGTAAATCAGTATCACAGCTGAGCACTGTCCACCAAGAACACCAGCACTATATGTATACTATTATGGAGTCTCAGTGACAGTGGCAGAATGGTTTGGTCATATATTGCTCAGCAAATAGATGCAAGCACACCAAAATATCCTCTTCATGGGTATGTTGCTTTTATTATTATTAAATTTTTGGAACAAAATTATCTATCATGGGCTGTAAGATAACAAGATAAGGAAGAAAAGGAAGTTAAGATAAGGAGCACAAAAGAGCATTTAAAGTGTGCAAAAGTGCACACTTTAAATTTCTTATTCCTCAAGTTATCCTCAGGATAACTTTAAAAATCAGCCTCCTGTTCTTGCTGTATTTTGGGATGAACGAAGCTAGGGAAGACTGTAAAGAAGCTAGTTATCAGAATCTTTCACGAAATACAACTTACATTGAATAAAGTTATATATTTTGGGAAACCTGGTTCCAAATCCTCAGGCTGCAAGTGAAAATTCGTTTAAATATCTTAATCATCACTGCTGCATTATTCCCCGAGGAGAAGCTGCCGCATTCCAGTGCAGCTGGAATTCAAGTGGCAAGCCGATGGAGGGGTTATTGCAGGTCACAACAGTGAGACACTGAAAAAACAAAGAAAAATCCATGAAACCTCCTGGGCTCAACTTTCATTTTACCCTGACATTGCGGATGCTTCAGCAAATGACCTTGTCATTATATTTTCTATAATATCTCTGTTATTCTGTACCTCATAACAGTAACCATGTTTTACCATATATTTTTATCTATCTCCTACACTTTTGCTTAAAACTGATAATTAAAAGAAGGGATTGAACTTTTATTTCACCTGCAACAACAAGCAAGAAATAAAATCTTCTCACATATCCTGTTATTTTATATAATGGAATACAAAACAAGGACAGATAAATATTAGACCACTAGTTTTTGACAGTCTCTGAGACCCTCTGTGCCTTTGGAATAGCGTTTCATGAGCACTAGGCCCCTGCGGTTTACCGTGCAGGATGCTCGGCACTTTCCAAGACCTGAAGTGAAGTAACAAGAGTTCCCATTGGAATATACCATTTAAGTCAATAATGATTCAAATTTACTGCTTATCCCTGAAATGCCAGATGTGAATAAAGGGTTGTATTCATGGCTCCGGGAATGTTATAAGGCTTAGTCAGTGAACGGTGCTAGAAAAATCTTTCTCATAACAGTGAGATATATAAGAAAAAAAAATTCACCAGGAAAGTAAGAATTAATTAGTGTTTCTCTTCGTATATGTTGTAGATATTTTACATGTAATCTTGAAACAGAAGTTAGTTTTCTTCCAAAACTACCCAAGCACTTGAACACTGTTTTTGAGAAGGACTCTGTAAAACACAGATTACATATGAAAGTTATTGGACTGTGGAAAGTTCACAGTGTAGCCAGTGGACAGTCCTGCAGAAGTATCACACAGGCACACACACAGAAAAGTCTTGAAAAAACTTGTCGGTATTGCTTTGATTATATTTATGGTAAAGAGATTATGACACAGGCTTAAAATGTTTAAGGAAGGTAAGAAATACATCTAGGTGAGATCTGCAAAGCTCCATGGAATGTGCTTACAGCAATTCTGTGCAGAGCAACAGGACTACGAAGAACGCCCAGTATCCAGGGGTGGGTTACTGCTGTTGCAGAACAAGTTAAAATATCAGAAAATGAAACAACATACAGCAGTTGCTTGTTACAAATGTAACATTTCAGTTTTTCTTAATTCAAAGAAAGTAGGTTAGATCTGATCTCTATTACATCCACACAATTAAACTTCCTACAAGAGTGGACATCCGCTCAGACTGGAAACTCTCTGAGATTAAAATCTCAAAATGTTCATTATTTTAAACACTCAATAATTTAAGTTAACCCTATGTTGTAACGCAGCCATTGTATCATTAATGTTCTATCCATTCCTCTTTTCTCATTGAATGTTAAATGGCTGCTAGTAAAATATCAAAGAATTTGTCTTTTCAGTTTGTGTCAAATGAGAGCATGTCAATGGAAAATCTATTGCTATCTTTGCTAGAGTATCTCTTCTGCCTCAAAAAACACCAACCAAACAACCAGCTTAAAAAAGATCCATTTTTTTTTTGTCTTCTTACTCTGACACTACAATGCATGAAACAAAAAACTAACCATCAGCTCAGTAAATAAGTAGAAAAATCAGGAGAAACAGTAGCTAAAGAGTAGACAAGCAGAAACTTGTAGTGCATTTGTATTATAACCTCAAACACAAACCAGCTGTATTACCTTCCCTCCAGCCAGTCATTACTGTAAGTTTTCATAATCCAATAACTGCGAGAGCAATCTTCTGAACTCGTTCACCTTTACCCACACCAAGCCTTCATAAGGGACTGCGACCTGTCATAGCTCAGTTTTATTTCCTAGAGAGTAAGTCTGTTTGCTACATGGTTACACTGCAGGATGAAGAATAGGACACAGCTGAGCAGAGGGGTGTTGATGTTGTGGTCCAGCAGAGGACTTGTGCAAACTTTTACTCTCAATCAAACCAACAACCCAGCAGAAAGCCCCAGGGCAGAAAACTGGGTACATGACCAGGTTCTTCACTGAGTCAGGGCTCAGCAGTCAGATAGGTTCTGAGCTCCAGCAAACTATACTGAGATAACAGAGGCCAGGCTTTGCCTAACTTCATGAAAAAAAAGCAGATTGTATGTAAAGGAAGAAAAATGAAATTACTATATACATTTCACATCCTCTCTAACAAAATCTCATCTCTAGAAACTGAACTTTGCATGTCTTTGTTCATGAAAAATGTAAAATAAGACATGCATTGCTTTGAAAGACTGAGGGAGCTGGGTCTCTATAGTTTGGAGGAGAGGAGATTGAGGGGTGACCTTATTAGTGTATATAAATATATAAAGGGGGAGTGTCACGAGGATGGAGCCAGGCTCTTCTCAGTGGCAAACAATGATAGGACAAGGGGAAATGGGTGCAAACTGGAACACAAGAGGTTCCACTTAAACTTGAGAAGAAACTTCTTCTCAGTGAGGGTGACAGAACACTGGAACAGGCTGCCCAGGGAGGTTGTGGAATCTCCTTCTTTGGAGACATTCAAAACCCGCCTGGACACGTTCCTGTGTAACCTTATCTAGGTGTTCCTGCTCCGGCAGGGGGATTGGACTAGATGATCTTTTGAGGTCCCTTCCAATCTCTAACATACTGTGATACTGTGATACTGTGATGCATGCTAAACGAATGTGTACACACATTTATTTGGTAGAACACTTTTGAGAAATTTAATGAAATGCAAGAATTTATTTTGAAATTAAACTGCAACAACAATTACCTCTTAAGAATAAGCTCACTGAACAGTTTTCAAAGATGATAATTCATTCACTTCAAGTTGTCTGAAATGATACTGTATCAGGATAATATCACTGATGGAGGCTTAACCAGACTTTCAAAAACACAGTTGTGCAAAGAAGTGTCTAGTCACTCTCCCCACATCTTTTCCATCTTCATATCATCTGTAAAAAAAGAAAAGTACATGCTGAACTACTGCAAGCACAATATTATTTGCAAGAGGAAAAAGCAACAACAGTTTGTGATAACTTCTACTTAAAACTTAATACAATCCCCCCCCCAAAAAAAAAAAAGCTGGAAACAATTACCAATTGGCTCATACAACTGAGAAATAATAGCCTTTTCATATCTGTATATGGGTAAGTCTGGTTTCTGTTTATCTAAGTAAACATCACCCATATTGACATGCATATCACCCTGATGTGGATAACTGCTTCTTTCAACAAACAGGAATTACTTATCTCTGATGTAATGAGTTTCCTTCAGATACAGATCCACAGGTATATACATTAACTATATTAATAATTATGCTTGCCTTAAAAAATATAATGTATCACAATAAATCTATATCACAGACTACAGTACCATAATGAGTGCAAAACCAAACTTCTGCTAAATCATTTTCACACACAGTTTTGTCTGCTTACTCAGCAAAGAGTTTAAACCATGTGTAGCAGGCCAGAAAATCAAACTATTTACACATCATGCATATGTGTTTAAATGCCCTTTAGAATTAAGGCCATAACAAAACTCAGCTATGTAAATGTCTTATATAACAAAGCTCAACTAAGTAAATGTCTCTTAAAAATTAAGATAAACCTTACGCTTCTCACAACTTCATCTGCAGATATATTTGCCTTAAATGGGACTCCACTGGGACCTAACGTAATTAGCACATCTAATAATGTCTGAACAACCAGCTTACCTATAGAATATTTTAGGCAGCTTTATAAATTTGATAAATGAATTCCATGGAAAGGTGTTGGCTCTTCTGTTTTATGCTGTATACTTTGCTGTAAGAACTACATTGACAAAAATTGTAAGAATGGGCTGCTGTCTATTTAAATGCTAATTTTAACATACGCTTTAGCATTAGAGCAATATTAGTGGATTACAATAAATCTGAATATAATTAATTTAAATTTAAATTTAAACTTAGCAATAACTTCAAAATATTTAGCACTAATGTAAAAACCACAAGCCTCTGAAGCAGGTTTTATTTTGCACTTCTTTCTAAAGATTACCTTTCATACCATTTTTAAAAATCAGATACTGACACAAAGACTCAAAGACTGATGAGATGATGATATCTGTAATTATATACTTAGTTTTGGTTTTAGGTTTTTAGGAAAAATGAAAAGATTTAGAGACTTGAAAATTCAGAAGAATTATACCATCATCCCTAAAAAAAATATTTTTGGTAAGCAAAATAACTGTAAACTTAAGATGCTTATTAACACTACAGATTTGATGTGTGTATGGCTGAACATTATTCAGCATCTACTGAAAATAGCTAATTGAAATACCCCATTGCATTGCTGTGACACAACACATGATTACGACTCAAAGATATTTAAATTATTACATGATTAACATTAATATATTCACTTTAAAGACTTTTACCATGGGATGTTGTCATGATTTCCCACATGGAAATTTACTTAATAGCTGAAATCTCCTTTCTCTCTTTACAATAAAATTCCCCATAGCTATAAATGGTTACGTATTCCCTTCACTACATCGTGGCTACAGTGCATGGTGTTTTGCTTGATTTATCACATCCCATCTTAAAATTTATTAATAAACAGCAATGGCAGTTGGGTCTAAGTCACACTTTGACTGTGACTTGACTACATCTGCTCAGACTAAAGAAGTACTTTAATTCCTGTGAAGCCAGCAAGTTAAACTTTTTGAGTTGACAAAGAACACTAGCAATGTAGTATGCAGTCAGTTACTCCTGCATGAGACCAGGTTGCCTCGGCAGAGGTGGTTCTCTGTGGTGTTCCCCATCACCACCACTGACACCCCACTCTGCCCTGGGGAAGACCACTTCCCCCTTCCCTTGCTCCGCTCTTCTGATACTTGAATTTACTTGAAGAGCAAAGCTAGCATGTGAAGGTAGCTGAAAACTAACCTACCAGAAAAAAGAAACCTGAGCAACCCCAACCTCTTCTACAGGAATTGTATTTCTATTTTACTTCTATTACAGCATTGGCCTGAATCTCATACTGAGTAACTACAGCAGGTAAGTATGGATACCAAGTTTGTGTGGCAGTGTAAAACCAGCAATAAGCCTTCTTGCTTTCTAGTAAGTGGAACTGCTTTGAAAATATATTAACATTCCCTTCACTGTAGAAAGGTTAAGTGCAAGCAAACAAAGAAACAGTTGTGATCATAATCAAGAAATTATAACATAGTAAAGAGGTAGTAGGATGTCCTTCTAAATTACAGATGAATGTAAAAAAATGTTTCTTCAAATTCAGAATAGATTACCAGATAACAAAGCCCTGTCTTGAAAAGCTGAACAAAATTAATTGATTTCTAGCACAATTAAACTATTTAACCAAAAAAAAACTTCACACTGTCACAACTTTCCTGAGAGAAATGAAAGCTGTAGAGGCACGTGCCTAAAATCTGCTTATTTGAATGGTCTGGTTTTCAGAAAGAGAATTGGTCTTAGGCTAAAAATCTAAATGTAGTTTTAAATTACACTATCACTATATAATTACATTAAGTAAAGGACATAAAAAATAGAGACATTTCCAAAATATTTTTATAATACTAGAGTGATTTTTTTTATTATTATTATTATCCCCCCTCGTTACAGCTGTTTATTTTACTGAACTAAAAGTATTTTATAGAAATTTTGCAGTATTTATTCATTTTGGTATCTTTTATGTGTAATTTTGAACTACTGAAAGCAATTTACTATTTTTAATATAACTAGGTCAAGTTTGTTTCTACACTACCGAGTTTACCTTAGTAAAAACATTCAAGAAATACTTGAATTTATGTGTGAAATGTTATACAAACTACTGGGAGAATATTCGCTTTCCATAGAACAGTGAACATGACCATCTAGTATCAAAAAGATAATCCGTATGTGTTGTCAACACTGTTTTCCAGTTGACAGAATTAATCAACATCAATGTTATATTTCATAAGAGTCCTAGTCCTATAGTCACTTATGTCAGGGCAAGAATTGTATTAATTATTCTGTTATTTTGTGTGTATTACTTTTGGCACAGCTTTATGTTTTGTAAAAGTACGTCCTTGCCCCACCATAATAATCAGTGTGTATTGGTGCATACCTTTGGTGAGAACCTGCTTGGGTTTTTCCATCATAATCAAAAGCCTATTCTAAAGGGTCATTAAGAATCTCACCTCCTTTGGTTTGCAGTGGTATGCAGAGAATGTCAGCCTCTGTGGATGGCTCATTGTTTGTGCTGATGCAATATAATGGTTCATCCAAGAAAGAAGGTTTCTTCAACCTTTTTGTGTTGAATGCTCTTGACATAAAGTAACCTTTAGTAATGCTCTTATCTTCCATCTTCTGTAAACCTTCTAGGTCAGCAGGTTCCTCTGTTTGGGCCAGTGAATCCTTTGATAAGTGTCTATCAACCAGTGCTTTGCTGATATAGCAGCCAGGGATTTCACTCTCTGCATTAACACACAAGCTTTTGTCTTCCAGTCCAGTCTTTTCCTGAGCTGTTAACATCCCTACAATATGGTCTTCAACTAACATTTTGGAAAGAGTAGATGTGGAGTGAAGAGTGGAGTTTTGACTTGTGTAACAAGGGGGACTTAATCCAAAAGAAAGAGATTCCTGAGACTTTGGCATGGTAACGTTGCTTATTGTTCTCTGAGCCTGTATACATTCTTCCAGAAGGGTCTTAAGCTGCTCTTCAGAGAGGCCCATTTGTTCTTCAGTCTGAAAAAAAAAAAAGAGAGGGCAAGAATTTCTTCTTTCAAAATATAATTAATGAAAAGCAGTGCCATAAAACAGTTTGAAAGATACAAAAGCACTGGCAGACCTCTTAAACTGATATAATTTTTTTTCATTTCAAACTGAATTTAAATATGTATTTATATATTTATATAATTTATGTAACAACTTCAGTAGGTTCTAGATAGACTAGGTGCTGAAACTTAGGAAAGAAGTCTGATGTCCACAAGGCGCTGAGAAGGCCTTTGATTTTGCTTAGTCTTCCACTGGATATCGCTTGTCTTAATTACCAAACCATGTACTTTTTCATATAACTTGGTTTCCAGTGTATACAGACACACACACGCTTTAAGATTTTAGATACTGAAAGCAAACCAGCACGTAGCTAAAAGACTTTCAGCTGTTTGGGCAATACAGCTGGGGTCAAAAAAACAGACGATAGGATTGTCACATAGTGACTGAAGTATTCCCTGCCACCCACTGTAAAAATGCAACAAACCGTTGAGCCTTGCTCAGCCATTGACAGAAAGCCCATCAGTTGCTCAGGACCTACGATGTCATGTATGTCCCAAGGCATGTGACAGAAGAAAGCCCCATCTTCTGTACACCAGTTTTACTGCTTTCAAGAAGTTGTCACTCTTTGGACAGCTCACAGATGTATCTCTTCCAGTCAATTTCTCATTCAGACAGTGGTACACTCCCATCATTTTTATCATGCAGGTTTCCTTTACTGGCCATTTTTTTAAATTTGATATTAAAGATAATGGCTAATATTAGCTGATAGTGGTGAAGAATGGCAAAGGATGCCTTGCCTGGAGAGGTTTGCAATGGCCATTACTTATAGCCTGTATAGTCCTTAATGCTCCCTAGTAATAGAGAAGCACAATACTGTCTGACAATTTAAAGACTGCAATGAAAGGTACAAGACATATTTTAGATATTCATAATACATTTGCCTATGAAATATGAGATAAAATATAATTATGTGTATTACAAATGTTACAGACATATTAAATGGGAAAAGATGCTTTCTACAATCAAAACCTCAGTTTTACCAAACATTCAAGAGACAAAAGATCAGCTGACAAGCTGATGAACTCTAAGGCTGCAGTGATTTATGTCAAACAATGATTTATTCACTGTGTAATGACTGTTACACAGACGTGACTTTACATTGTGCTAGAGCATGGAGCTACTATCATTTCAGAAAAAAAAGATCAATATCAGATCTAGCTATTTTTTTTTTACCCCGATCCAATTACATGAGTGATATGACACTATTTCATGTATATGACATGACGAGATTGCAGCCAACTTAGCACAGCATGTATGATTTATGCTTAAAAACTGATTATTCATGTTCATGAATAGGGACAGCTCTCGGTGAGGAAAAAAACAGTATTTCTTTGTAAACTTGCTGTGGCTATTAAAAATTACAAGGTGACACTACAAAGTGAACAAGAAAGACATTTTCGGTTACTTTCAGCCACTATTCTGTACTTACATGCTCAAACATTAAGAATAGCTAAAAACTGTTACTATAGACTGATTACAGTTCAGGCACTAGCTGATGTTCTTAAACTCTGTTTTATAGATTTATTGAACCCACAAGCCTTTTTCTGCACACACTTTTCCTTCCCAAAGACACTCTGAATTCACTTCCTACACATATAAAAGAAGACAACTGCATTAAAGAAAATGAGATGTTTAGGCTTTTAAACAAACAAACCGAAACAAACCAAAGCCATCATCAACTATCATTATATGTAGAGAGCTGTATTTAGATGAAAATTAAATGAGGTAATTATATTGAGATTCAGCTAATATTGGTATCAATCAATGTAGTTTTGATAATATAACTGAAATCAAACCACAGCCTTAAGCACTTATTTAAATAATGAAGAAAACAATATGATCTAATTTTTCTTTTGCTTTTAAATTCCAATCCTAGTGCAGAAAATACAGATCAAAAATCAGTCAGAGAGGGAAAAACAACTCGTAGTAAAACACATGACAAAGTAAAAATGAAACATGGAATTTTTCAAATTTTCACTCTCAATCTGATTTACAAGACCCTGCTGAATTTCTTACATTTCTTGAAGAAGTATTTTAACTTGTGGGACAATGTCTGTCTATAGTCACTCATAGAATGAACTAACTATAAGAAACAAGATGCATTCGCTCAGGCAGAGCACCACAGTAACATAGGACAGACCACTTCTGAAAGCACAGCTGCATCTAGAGCATATCCACAGAGCAGAATATCATGCTACATAAACATAACTAAATTTGTATCACAGAAGATTTTCACATCTGGAAACCCACATGGATTCACACATGGTTTTGAGTGTGTGGTTGTATAATGACATATTTCAAAGCTCTTGGCCAAGATCAGTTAGAGTTAAGTTTATGTTAATGACAGGGCAATTCACTCACAGCAGAAAATAATCCTGCATCTGGAGTAAATGAATGAGTACAAAATGAAAACAGTGAGAAGATCATCTTTGTCCTGCCTTTCTTCTGTCATTTTATTTTCCCCATCCCCATTTATCTGCAGTCTACGTTTTCTTGTCCAAATTTATTTTTTTCTTTTTTTCCTGTCAGGAAAATCATATGGCTCATATTGACAATTAGTCCATATATTACTTTGATTACTACCAGAGAGCTAAGTAGGGAGATTTGGAGCCTAAGGCATACGGAGAGGGAAAGGAGTATAACATCTATAGAGTGAAAAGTTTTGGTAACTTGTGGGCTTGTTTTCCTTTGGAGTGGCAGGCCTGCAGGCAAAGCAGGCAGTGTAAAACATTACTTACTTTTCTTCTTTGTTTATCTCTTCCTCCCTTTGGTTTGTTTTGTAAGACAAGATTGCAAGGATGCAAAGATACGGAAATAGAAATTATTTAACACAGCTCTCAAAAGTTACATTTTAAAATACTAAATGCTCACTGTTCGCAATTTTTTTGTGCCACAGTCATTTTAGGGTTAAGGAAAAATATACAGTAGGGAAGATGACAGCTCTTAAATAGCCATCAGTCATCCACTCAGCAGCAAGAAATCTACATTGAAATGAAAGAAGAAAGGCTGCTGTTGAAATCAGAATACTGAATTTAGGGAAACAGGTAATACCCTAAGGAGAGACACCTCACACCTAAATGAGCATTTGAACTCATGGGATTGCATAATGCAGCAACTGTATGAGGAGTTTGCAAAGTACACTTTTGCACACACCAAAATAAATCTTTTCACAGCTAACTGTACTAGTTTAGAGTCACAAGACTTGGAATCAGTAACACAGTCTTAGGGAGACACTAGATTCTACCTCTCCCAAGCTATCACTGCCCTTACTGTAAATAATTTACAACTCCTATACAGAAAAAAACCCGGCAAGATTGTTCTTTAAAAATACAAGGACATAAAAGTAATGTAAATCAAAATGAAAAAACAGCCCACTAGACAAGGGAAAATGAGCTACCAGGTCTGGTTCCCATTAGAAATTGGAAAACCTTTTAATACTTCTGGCTAATTTTTAATAGGACACTGAGTCCTATTCATTTTCTAGGCTTTTTACCGTTAATGATCCAAAAAACTAATTCCTAGCCAGGAGTTTAGGAGCCTGCTAATGACCTTTACTGTTTATGTGTGGCTAGCTTTCCACACACTTGTGGCCCTTCTCTGACTGAAGATTTCTTGTTCCTTGCTGAATTCCTCAGTGACATGGGTCTATAGAGAAAACCTTACTGCATGTGGTAGGAATGCAAACTTGTAGTACACTGCAGACAGACCTGCTGTGACTACAGGCTTGCAAGTTCAAAGCTTTAGTCTTGTTTTCCACATCTACACAGTAACAGAAATCAACTTAACACTGAAAGGCCTTATCAGATTTTAGCATGGGGAGAAAGCTAATATGTCAGTATTATTTCTATTATAGTAAATAATCATAAAATCACACACAGAAACTGAATAAGCACTAGAAAGCCAAAACTATTTAAGGACTCATGTAGCTGGCATGCCTATAAACACCTATATTTTGGTGCTTAATCTGAAAGTATTACAATCAACACTTCTCAAGATACTTTATTTGCTTGAAACAATTTACTTTGATACTCAAATTTACTTAGATTTTTACTGATGTGTAGGACTACAACAGTCAATTCTAAAGTAACTGATCTCTTCTGGATTAAGACTATTTTAAGTGTATACTAATTTATTGAGACAACATGAGATTTTTTACGTAGCAGCACAGGGAGATTTTGGAAGTTTTATTTTTTTCATGACTTACTAATAGTTTCTCAAACAGCTCTATTCTGCTTTGAAAAGGCAATCCTTGCCATGTATTTCCACACTACTCAACTCAACATGCACTATTAGTTCCAAGGTCTCACCTTTATGCATCACACCAAAGCAACATGAACTTCCCTATGAGAGGTACTATTATGGAACATAATTCATACGCTGCATACAAAAACAGTCACATCATGTTGTTGTGGAAGAGCTTTTTACAATTCCCATAAGTGCTAGCAGCCCAAAGCTCTTTTGTACCACAGAAGTCAGGACTGGTGTCCATAACATTTAAATTGTGGTAATATGTCCTTAGGATACTGTTGTGATACAGTAGACAGCTAAGCAATATACAGTTGCTTGCTCACTGCCCACCCCCCCTGCCCCAGCGGGACAGGAGAAGCAAACAGGAAGACTAAAAGCAGTAAAACTTGTGTAGCTAGATCAAAATTGTTTAATAAGCAAAGGAGAAGGGAAAGAAAATAAAACAAATTACGCAAAGGCAACCACTGACCATCTCCTGTATGTAGACCAATGCCCAGCCAATTCCTCAGGAAAAGATGGGAATTTTAGAGAACCCCTTCTTTTCCCTTTTGATTGCTGTGCATAGTGTTATATGGCATGGAATATCTCTTTGGTTAGTTTGGGTCACCTGCCTCATTGTGCCCCCTCCCAGCCTATTCCTCACTCCTGATCTATTCACTGGG